GGGTCCCCCTTCTTGTATATGTGTGTGTGTGTGTGTGTGTGTGTGTGTATTGGCAAAGCACATATATCATTAGGGTTCGACGTAATATATTCAAAGAAATAAAATAATTTTTCAACAGTCACATCTCTTCGTTGGGGTTTCAGCCATAACCAGTTGCGTTGCAATTTTATCCATTGCAGCAATGTCCTGTATTTTAAAGAACACACTGCACACACAACACACGTGCTGACAATGTAAGAATACGCTCTGCTACAGATCGATTGCCCATTTTTGATTGTCTACATACACAGAATGGTGATTTAAGCCGGACCCCAATTCTCGGAGGTTTCTCTACGTTAAGTACCTGATACAGCTTTCTGAGGAAGAACCATCGAAACGAAGAGTGAAATCCGAAACCTTCGTCTCTTCCTCTGTGTCTTACTCTAGTGTTATTGTTGCAGTCTAACAACATCCTGGTTCTTGTGACCATTCTTGCAAACTGATGTTACTTACTTGTTACTAATATGAATTATATTTTTGTGCGCTATTTTGTCTGCGATGTTTATGCAGTGTACTCTTGTTGTATGATTACATTGTACTGTGATATCACTGTTTACTGTATTTTAAAGAACCATTGTTTCAAAAGGAGGCATTTTGTTTAGTTTCCAGTGCTGAGCCAGTAAAGTTTGGGCAGCTATTATCAGCAAAGAGGCTCTTTCAGCTTTAGATTCTGACAGAGATCGATCGGGCCAATAATTAATACAGATTCAGGAGTATTCGGTATAGATTGTCCTGATATTTTCTCTAATACTGAAATAATGGCTGTCCAAAAACTAAAAACCCACGGGCAAGCCCACCAGCAGTGCAAAGAAGTTACTGGTTGTCCACAGCCCTTCCGACAGCTAAGAGTTTGACATTAGTTTACACTGAAATAATCTCACTGGTGTCGTGTACGAAGGATACATTGCTGTCATCCCATTTATCCGTAAGAAGCGGTGCCTCTCTCCCTCTAGTTTCTGCCACTTAGAAACATCAGTCAAACAGGAGGCGTGAGCGAAGGAGAGGAGATTGGATTTATACCCCGCCCTTCACTACCCAAGGGAGTCTCAGAGCGGCTCACAAACTCCTTTCCCTTCCCCTCTCCACAACAGACACCCTGTGAGGTAGGCGGGGCTGAGAGAGCTCTTTCAAGGACTGCTCGTGAGAGAACAGCTCTGACAGAACTATGGCTTGCCCAAGGTCATCCAGCAGCTGCAAATGGAGGAGTGGGGAATCAAACCTGGTTCTCCCAGATTAGAGTTCGCGCACTTAACCACGACACCGCCTGGAGTATATTCGTCCCACGTTCTTCAAAGAGAAGGACCTGGCTTTTGATGTGTGCCAGAACGTGTGCAGCTCATACAGCGGATGAACCAGATGCTCAATTCATAAGATCCTTGTTCTTTGGGAATAGGGAGGGATTGGAGCAATCAAACCACCACACGTATGAACACGGAACAACAGGTGTGAACTGTACCAGGGCTAATGTTAATGTTAAGAAGCAGGGTGGTGCAGTGGTTAGAGTCCCAGGTTCAAATCACCACTCTGCCATGGAAGCCCGCTGGGTGACCTCGACCAGTCACACATTTTCAGCCTAGTCTACCTCAAAGGGTTGTTGTGAGGATAAAATGGAGGAGAGAGTGATCTAAACTGCTTTGGGTCCACACTGGGTAGAAAAGGGGGGGTTGTTCCCTCTAAACTGAGTCAGTGTGAGCCAGCTCACAGTTTTCTAGCCTCCGGCTCACACATTTCTGTCTTCGCTCAGGAAGGAGGGCTCCAGAGTAAACCAATCTATGCAGCAGCCGAATCGCTCGCTCACAACTTTAAGGCCAGTAGCTCACAAAGCAGAATTTTTGCTCACGAGACCCCACAGCTTAGAAGAAGAGATTGGATTTATACCCTACCCTTCACTACCCAAAGGAGTCTCAGAGCGGCTCACAAACTCCTTCCCCTTCCCCTCCCCACAACAGACACCCTGTGAGGTGGGTGGGGCTGAGAGAGCTCTTGAAATAAACCACTCTTTTTTCAAGGACAGCTCTTATCAGAACTACGGCTTGCCGAAGAAGAAGAAGAAGAAAAAGAAGAAAAGGAGGAGATTGAATTTATACCCCGCCCTTCACTACCCAAAGGAGTCTCAGAGCGGCATACAAACTCCTTCCCCTTCCCCTCCCCACAACAGACACCCTGTGAGGTAGGTGGGGCTGAGAGACCTCTGAGAGAAACTGCTTTTTTCCAAGAACAGCTCTGAGAGAACTACGGCTTGCCCAAGGTCATCCAGCCAGGTGCGAGTGGAGGAGTGGGGAATCAAATCCGGTTCTCCCAGATTGGAGTCCGCGCACTTAACCACTACACCAAACTGGCTCTCTGGCTTAGAGGGAGCATTGGTGGGAGTATAAATAAGTAAACAAGTAACATGAGGAAGGGGGTGTCATTGGTTGGCACACCTCTGGACCTCTCTCCCCCAAGAAGCCTGTTCTGGTCCGTGACTCAAACTTTGTTCTTTGCTTCAAAAGACCTTTGTGAGGGGGCTAATGAAGGGGAATGGCGAACAGACTCCAAAGGTGCTTTATAGGAGTCACGCTGGAAGCCCTTCTGTGTCTGAATGGAAACTCTACTTTACGACAAAAGGAAATGCTACTAGACCCACAGAGCAATTCAAATGTGGAATTCACTCCCAGAAGATGTTGCGACGGCTGCAGGAATAAAGAGCTTTCAAAGGGGATTAGAGAGATTCGTGGAGGAGAGGTCTGTCAGGGGCTACTAGCCGAGGTGAATCAGGGGGGGCCTCCACATTCAGAGGCACTAATCCTCTGAGTCCCAGAGCCAGGAGGTAACATCAGGGGAAGGCCTCGGCCTCCCTGCCCCGTCGTTGGCCCTACAGAGGAACTGGCTGGCCCCTGTGTGAGACGGGAGGCTGGACTAGGTGGACCTTCACTGGTCTGATCCAGCAGGGCTCTTCTGGTGTTCTTCTCAGGGGAAGGCCTTGGCCTCTGTGCCGTCGTTGGCCCTCCAGAGGAACTGGTTGGCCACCGTGTGAGACAGAATGCTGGACTAGATAGACTGTTGGTCTGATCCAGCAGGGCTCTTCTGATGTCTTATATATAGATTCATGGAAGATAAGTTTATCAATGGCTATTAGCCCTGGTGACTGAGGGGAACCTCCACATTCAGAGGCACTAATCTTCTGAGTCCCAGAGCCAGGAGGCAACATCAGAGGAAGGCCTCGGCCTCTGTGCCCTGTCATTGGCCCTCCAGAGGAACGTCAGTCACACAGAGCCTTGTAGTGTGGAGGGAGCTGCTGCCAAGGCAACATCTACAAAAAGCTCTGCGTAGCCAATCCAATCTCCAATGGCCCCCCGGAAGCTTTTCTAGGCAAGTGCCCCGCCCACTGTCTAAAAACGCCCGGCAAGGTGCCAGAAAAGGTATCGACAGGCTCCATGCCACTCCCTGGTGCCACACTGGAGAACCCTTGCTCTAAAGGAGATGCGCTTAGCTCAAGTTCACCTCAGCACAGGGAACTCACCTGATGTAGTTATACGCTTTTCGAAAATTCTTGTCCAGGATCGCCGCCGAGAGGCCAAAGTACTCCAGTTCCTTGCGCTTCTGCCGGTCGTCGTAGAAGGAATAGTACTCCAGGGAGGAGTCCACGAGGAGCTCCGCCTCCTTGTAGCGAGCGAGGTCGCAGAGTGCGTAGATGGCCTTCAGGAGGAGATTCCACCAGTCGTCCTTCGGCAGCACGCTGGTCAGCACCATAAAGATTGCTGGGAGGACAGGGAGAAGGAAGTAATGCCGAAACCAGTTAGTGTGGCCTTGTCAAAGTCAAACGCCTTTAATGGCATAACAGTAAAATACACAGATATACAATAACACCGTGTGAGAATTTAAAAGCACAATGAACAAAATACATCATTCCTTTAGGAGCATACATCTGACTTTGGCCGCTTCGGCAAGAAACTTGGCCACTGTAGCTGTGATATCAGGATTAACATCCTTTAGAAGATACTGAACGACCATTGGTACTCACCGTGAGGGGTCATTCTCCTCTGAGGATTGGAGGACATCCTGTGTGGGTGATTCCCATCCATCATTCAGGGAGGCAGGACTTACAAAAGAACTTCCTGTTTCCTGTGGTGGGAGTCACCCTTTCCTCAGTTCGGGTACTCCGAAAAGCAGTAAAGGTTGATAACCTATTAACGACATCCTTTTAAAAGAACATAACTACGTACAGGAAATTCTTAACTTCTCTCTTTCTACAATAGGGTTATACACATAAGATAGTAGTACAGTCAGAACGTAGGCAATGTAGAAACTTAGTCTCCAATACTTACGCATGACGGCGACCTGGGGGGGCCGGGATGTCCTCCAATCCTCAGAGGAGAATGACCCCTCACGGTGAGTACCAATGGTCGTTCTCCCTCTGAGTTGGAGGACATCCTGTGTGGGACCTTCCCGAGCAGTGTCCCTAATGTTGGGATGGGAGGTCGTCCGCATGTGAAAAAACACAAATTGCAGAACCCTTCTGCCAAAGGCCGCCTTTGCCGAATCGTATATATGAAT